AGTTCGATTTTTTCAAGTTATTTATAATTTTGGAATAAGACTACTGTTAACACTTTACTGTGACTTTAGTGTGAATAGATGGATAAAAGTAGATCTTAGCTGATGAAATGATTAATTACTACGTAAACAGATACCCTTTAAGCCACGATAAGTGAACGTATTTAGGAATTGCCTTGAAAACAAATGGGATTTCTCGAGATGTTGCGAGCAAAAGCTAGTATTAAATAGAAAAGTAATAAGTAAAGTAGTAAGTATACATACAGGTTGTTGATTTCAATCCTCGCCATATTTATGGAGTTGATTGTAGTTTTTTCTGATCATGAATCAGTAAAAAAATTTACTTCGAAAAAAACAAACTTTAACTTTAGTTAGTCCAAGAAAAATACCTATTTACACTACCTACTTACGTGGCTTCATTCAGTAGGCTATCCGCGCGTAGCTCGATAGTGCCGCAGTGTAAATGTATTGCAGTATTGCGACCCACAGTACAGTTGATGTCGCACGGAAAATATTCGCTAAAAATTCCACTCTCGTTTGTTTTTTTTTTGTGGATAATGCGTTTACATAATAATAGATCACCTAAATAAATATGGCAAGGATTGAAATCAGCACCCTGTACATGATTGAAGAGCTGTATTTACCAAACACTATTATGGAATTGTTGTAGATACTAGTAATATAAGAATATTACGCTAATAAAACTCTCCGAATGAATTTCTTAGACCGTGAAAATAAGTTGGCGGGTTAACGGTAAAACATAGAAGCTACAAGCTCAAAAAAGGTAGGTACCCATGTCAAGTTTTTGTTTCTTGTTACTGTCAGAGGTTTGATTTATCAGAAACCTAGAATGCACTGAGATTTAATTTTGTGATCCACTATAGCAAAATTACTGTCAATTTTACTTTTCATCGGTCTTTTTAAAGAAATTGTCAAAAATCTGTCAAACCCCATACAAAGAACACCGGTTTTCGTTAAAGTTACGGTCAAAGTTAGGTGGTGCAACTCAGCCCAAGAAACATTTAGAATAAGTACAATTTATGATTTCATGTAGGTAACTTTTATTTTACTTTTCGAGCACATTGTTGTTTAAAAAGTAAAATTAAAAAAAAATCTTGTGACGAATGAAGATTTTCTAAGAATTGATCTATCCTTATTCCTTTCACAAGATTTTCATATTACTGAAGTAGCTTATTTAGTCTACGAGGTCACGGACAATTTTCTTATTAAACATCTCATAAAAGACCTTATGATTTCTCATTTCCGTCTACCTTGGGTGTAATTGAACAATTTTAAACGAAACGTTTACTCAATTTATGTATATTTAGGACAAAGTTTTATTAAAAAGTGGATTTACGATGCATAATAAATTAGAAATACCTAGATATCTATACTAATATTATAAATGCGAAAGTAACTCTGTTTGTTTGTCTGTCTGTATCTCTTTAACGCCTAAACCACTGACCCTATTTTGATGAAATTTGGCATAGAGATAGTTTTAGTCCCGAGAAAGGACATAGGATAGTTTTTATCTCGGGTTTTGAAACAGGGACGCGCGCGATAAAGTTTTTCTGTGACAGACAAAATTCCACGCGGGCGAAATCACGGGCGGAAAGCTAGTTTTTCCATAAAATAACTGTGAAAGTAGCCTACTTATTAATAAAAAGGCCAAGAAACATAATAATATTTTAACTAAAGTAAAGAGTTTGTGAAGATAGGGCTTGTAGAGTTAAGCTTCAACCACACCAACGCGTGCAGATAGCCATCGCCGGCGTGATCATAGGCCAATGACAGGTCGTGCGACCAATGACAGTCCACGCGACCTGTCATTGGCACATGATCGCACCGGCGATAGCGATCTGCACGCTTCGGTGTGGTTGAAGCTTCAGTGTCTAGACAAAGTGCAAATTATAATCGCAAACCAGTCGAAAAGTGGTCGAAAAGCCCCTTTTTTGTATGGAGATTTGACGGATTCGATTTTCGATTCGATCAAAAAGTGCGTTTTGTCTAGGGGGGCTGGGCGAGTAGAGTTAGAAACTTGGATCTACATGAGATCTGATAACTTTTTGATAGTGCGAGCCATATGGCATCGTCTTGGCAATATTGTAACATGTTTTTTTTAGGTTTTCATTACATTGATTCTGAATTTTTGATTACAGACATAAAGTTAAAACTTATTTCAATTTCCATAATTTGTTTTAACCCTAAAAATAATCCCTAAATGGGTTGAAAAGGGGGATGAAAGTTTGTCTTGAAGGCGAAGAAAGATGTAGACAAAACCTAGTATAAAAATAACCTACAAAAAAGCAAATGTCAACTAATTAACCTAAGTGACGTAATTTTGGGATTGTAGCTGAAAATTCCCCTGCCATTATCACGGGAAGAGCTAACTTTTGATTAAAAACTTTTTGAAATGTGCAAATACAGTTTTACCCGCGGAAACCCGCTTCCATGTTGCTGGAAGTTTGACTGGGAGTTCCATATCACGAATGCGTAACTGTCAACAGAGATTCCGCTTATCAAGTTTTCGTGCTAATATTTTGAATACCAAACATCTACTAGGGTAGTTTATAGTTGGATTCACGTCTCTGATATCTTGGAATATGGGTTAAATTCCTTTAAGCACGTAGGATATTAACTGGAACAAACAGACAGACTATGCAAGGTTATTTACATGTGCATTTATTTTAACATCGAACTTCAAATAGAAACTAACTTACTCAGTCAGTGGTATGGGAGCGGCACGGTGTTTTTGTAACGTCAAACGTCAGCGAGACTTCAGTACCTCTACCATGAGTTTACCTACCGAGCATCTCGCTATCGAGAGCGTAAAAAAATGTATGGAAAATTGTACAGCGCCTCTAGCGGTTAGTAGCTGAACCACAGCAAAACTAAAAACACTACCATGAGTTCAACTCAAATCGTTAGGTAAAAAAACCTATCTACATGAATACGATAGCGACTAAAGTTTTTATTTAGTTTCATACAAATAACTTACCATGAGTTGCAATTTTCAAAGATGTCATCGAAAAATACCTTAGCTGTCACAGTAACGTAATTAACTCACTGGCTTATTGACGTGTGAAAAGCAAAATAAAATTGTGGTTTTAGGTGTTCAGTGGGTCTAGACAAAGTGCAAATTATAATCGCATACCAGTCGTAAAGTGGTCGAAAAGCCCCTTTTTTGTATGGAGTTTTGACGGATTCGATTTTCGATTCGATCAAAAAGTGGGATTTGTCTAGGGGGGCAGATCTTCTTCAGAATTATCTGCTCTGTCACGACTTATTATATCAATGTCACCCCTTACCGTGTCGTTCCATATTTCAGAAACTGAGATAAGCGCTGGACCTATAGTTTTGAGCTTCGTTCTGATGATGATGATGATGATCCATCCGACCGATTTCGGCCATGGCGACCACTCCGACTCCTAGCTGTCTTGGCGGCGCTGGTGTGCCCGAAGATGGCTTACGTAGCCTATTTTCGCGGTAAAATCGGTTTTGAGCTTCGTTCTATAATACGCACTTAGGTTGTCTGGAAGAGATCGCTTCATAGCGATAAGACCGCCTAGTTGTACCTTGCGTGTTCCTTTTCTTTCTGTTCTGTTCTTTGGTGTGCAATAAAGAGTATTTATTATTATTATTATTGTCTTTATTCACTTAAGCTATTTTATAACGTTTATAACGTTATCGCGCGCGAACAACGCAACGTTAGTGTTATCACGCCATCTCGTCTAATAGCGAATCACGCGGAAGTATGGTGCCGCGCCCTTTCCTCGGCCAATCGGCGCGAGGCAGTCCCCCCGCGCGTCTCGCGACTCACGCGGAAGCTTCGAGAAGTTTCCTTCTTCCCGGTGCGCGACGCCAACGTGAACGGTCGATTTTGAGCTAGCCTATTTTATATGTGGAAATATGTAAATTCCCATGATTGTTTGCCACGAAAAGTTTTGTTTAGTCGTAAGCTTGAGTTCAATAAATGAATATTGTGAAACCACGATTAAAATGGCGCCCAACGTNGTACTTTTTTCACATTTTAATGTCTTAAGTCACGTTTTAATGTTTTTTATTTATCAAAAATCACGGAGCCGATGTTTACCTGACGGCTAGCGCCATCTGTTCCGATTATTGTGAAACCACGACTAAAATGGCGCCCAACTCGAGGCCTTAACCTACGTCAGGCCTGGCTCACTCCGCGCGGTACATCCGATAATTACCTACAGCGAAGCGCCCCGCCGGCGGGTATTATATCAGTCGAGTGTCACGCGCTCGCCCGTCAGGACGCTGGCGTGCGTTGTAGTATGATTATAATTCTATGATCGAAGTATTATTTAAAAATGGACATAAAGATAAAGAATGCAAGGCGAGAGTGAATAGGCACTTACAGGGCAGATATGTACCATCCTAGACTGCATCTCACTTAACACCAGGTGCGATTGCGGTCAAATACCTGCCTTGTCTAGCATAAAAAAAAAAAAAAAAAAAATATTGTGCGGCGTTCGGGTGTTTAAATTCGAAAAGTAATCTACCGGATTGATCTTCTTTTTTCGCTTCCCAAAGATGCTGAAAGGTATGTTGGCCATGTAGGTAATCAATAATTCTTAGGATAGTATAGGAACCTAACCTACTATGACTACTGCTCAGAATGCGTTCGTTCGTTTCAGCCAAATGACGTCCACTGCTGGACAAAGGCCTCTCCCAAGGTTTTCCATAATGAATGCATACTTACCTCATTACAAATAAGTAGATTAAATATTTTTTCACTAGACAGCAACCCTAACAGCGTAAGAAGAGTTCAGAGGCACGCGATAGAAAGAGACAAAACTTGTAGGTGAATAAAATTGTAGGTACGTAGTGCTGTGCGAGCTGAATTCCACTGTATCGCGTCGTAGCATGACTCGCATTTATTTAAATCGTCTTGCGGAGTAATCCTTCTGTACCTGTACTATTACTTATTCTGTGCCTACGTTCAGTACCGGCAAAGTACCAACCGTGAGTGCAGNTCGTCGTAACTCATCACGTAAAAATCCCGTCATACAGGGTGAAAACGGGAATGTTTTGACAATACAGGGTGAAACCGGGAATTTGTTCACTAAAAATTGTAAACCCGGGAATGTTAATTCTGTGCGGTATGGTAGCCGTAATAGTTGTGTAACACGGGGTGGTAACCGTAGTTCACCTGTAACACAGGGTGGTAACCGTAGTTCACCTGTAACACGGGGTGGCAACCGGAATTTTTCGGACACACAGGGTGGCAACCGGAACTTTTCGGGCATATTACAGGGTGGCAAATGCGACTTTTCTGGGATGCAGGGTAACGCATCCGAAATGTGTCACAGTGGTAATCGTGTGCAAGATAGATGTGAAATGCCTATCTCTCCCGATGTTTTACGCAATTTTCGAGAAATTGCCGATTTTGAGGCGAAAGCCAGTTTTTCAGGTACCAGTGAGTTTAATACCGCCCAGGTGGAGGGCGAGCCTCACGATTTATGTTTCCTCCCTAGTCTGACTCTTTATACAGCGGGAGTTGACTTCGACCACTTCAAACCGACGATCAGAATCCAGATATTGGGTCATAGCGGTGTTGCTGTCATGGACACAGGGGCTACGAACTGCCTCGCCAGTCCGATGCTGTACCGGACGTTGGTGGACGGCGGCGTACGCTTCATGGAGACGCAGCGATCGATCGGGTTAGCAGACGGAACACGACAGGTACACGATGTCCTTATAGGTGACGTGACTGTCGTCCTGCAGGGTCGAAAAATATTTACCACATTCATGGTGATCCCTGGAGCTGATACGAGGACGCTTCTAGGACGCGATTTCATCCGAGATGCAGGTATTCTCATCAATATCCAGCAGGCAACGTGGAGTTTTGCCGACACACCAGGCCGGCGGTATGCCTTTGTAAAGGACCATGTACCTACCCCTACCGCCGATGCAGAACTGATNTGGAAATATGTAAATTCCCATGATTGTTTGCCACGAAAAGTTTTGTTTAGTCGTAAGCTTGAGTTCAATAAATGATTATTGTGAAACCACGATTAAAATGGCGCCCAACGTGGGGCCTTAACCTACGAACAGTACCGGCAAAGTACCTACCGTGAGTGCAGCGTGTCGAAACCTGTTTTTACCGGCGTGAAAACAGTGCAATCTCGAACTGTAACGAGTTACGATGGCTTCCGCGACGCGATCCAAGTGTGGGGTCGCAGGCAACCGCGACGACCACGATGACCACTCGGCGGCAACGGCATCGGCAGCCGCGAGCGACCAGGGGGTCGCTCAGCACGGCGCCGACCGGCGAGCGACAGCGGCTCCGACCGCGCCCGGCGGCAGCGCCGCGGGCCCGTTCATGACCGAGTCGCAGGTGTCCTCCCTCCTGTCGGCCTTCGCACGGTCCCAACAGGAGGCCAACCGCATCCTCTTCGAGAACCTACTGACGACGCTGAGCACCACGAGCACGACGAGCACGGGGCCGGCAGTACCGCCCCAGTCGCCACCGATGTCGACATCCGAGTCGCAGTTCCGAGGCGGGTCGTTCGCAAAATGCACGGCACGCTTCGATGGGCGAGCGGACGATGCCGACAAGTTGGAAGCATTTCTGGACGCCGTCACTACATACAAGGAGTGCCTGAGCGTGAGCGACGAGCACGCGCTGCGCGGCCTCCCCATCCTGCTGGTGGATGATGCAGCTGTGTGGTGGCGAGGGGTCAAGAACTCCGTCTACACCTGGGACGACGCGGTCGCGCGCCTACGAGGCATGTACGGCGCCGCACGACCGGCCTACAAAATCCTTCGCGAAATATTCGCGCAAGAGCAAGGACAGCAACGATGCGACGTGTTTATCTCGAAGATGAGAGCGTTGATAGCTAAACTTCCATACGAACTGAACGAGTGTCTACAGATTGACATTGTTTACGGTCTACTTGACCGACGAGTGCGTAAACGCGTAACCCGCGAAAGTGTTGTGTCGTTAGACGTGTTGGTGGATAGGGCCCGCGATATCGAAGAGTCTATCGCCGAGGTAACGCAAGGGGACTCAGGTAAAGGTCCACGCGGCACCATAAGTACCTATTCCATCCAGAAAACCGTAAGTAGTTCTCCGCTAACTGATAACACACCTACACACTCGCCCTCTAGTTCAAATGACGCAAAAACACAGGGACGTAATCGTTTACGTTGTTCTTTTTGTAATGTATTTGGTCATCAAATAGATAATTGTCGTAACCGTGAGCGAAATAACAAAACTTCCACGAGCAAAGACAACTCCGAACGTAATTTTAATAATAATAGTTCGCGTAATAATAGTACAATACGGTGTTATGGATGTGGCCAGCAAGGCGTAATCAAATCGAAGTGTGAGACGTGTAGTCCGAAGTCTCAATCGGAATTCCACACTTTAGTGTCCCGTCGTACTATTTGCAATAATTGTAAACCCCCCGTAACATTATTATCATCACGTAACAAGACGAAAACTCGTAACTCATCACGTAAAATTCCCGTCATACAGGGTGAAAACGGGAATGTTTTGACAATACAGGATGAAACCGGGAATTTTTGTGGAAAAAATTGTAAGCCCGGGAATCTTAATTCAGCACGGGGCCGGGGTGGTAACCGTAGTTCACCTGTAACACAGGGTGGTAACCGTAGTTCACCTGTAACACGGGGTGGTAACCGTAGTTCACCTGTAACACGGGGTGGTAACCGTAGTTCACCTGTAAGTCCTGTAACACAGGGTGGTAACCGTAGTTCATCTGTAACACAGGGTGGCAACCGGAATTTTTCGGACACACAGGGTGGTAACCGGAACTTTTCTGGCATATTACAGGGTGGCAAATGCGACTTTTCTGGGATGCAGGGTAACGCATCCGAAATGTGTCACAGTGGTAATTGTGTGCAAGATAGATGTAAAATGCCTATCTCACCCGATGTTTTACGCAATTTTCGAGAAATTGCCGATTTTGAGGCGAAAGCCAGTTTTTCAGGTACCAGTGAGTTTAATACCGCCCAGGTGGAGGGCGAGCCTCACGATTTATGTTTCCTCCCTAGTCTGACTCTTTATACAGCGGGAGTTGACTTCGACCAGTTTAAGCCGACGATCAGAATCCAGATATTGGGTCATAGCGGTGTTGCTGTCATGGACACAGGGGCTACGGACTGCCTAGCCAGTCCGACGTTGTACCGGAAGTTGGTGGCAAGTGGCGTACGCTTCGCGGAGACGCAGCGATTGATCGGGTTAGCAGATGGAACACGACAGGTACACGACGTCCTTACAGGTGATGTCGCTGTCGTCCTGCAAGGTCGAAAGATATTTACTACATTCCTGGTGATCCCTGGGGCCGCTACGAGGACGCTTCTAGGACGTGATTTCATCAGAGACGCAGGTATTCTCATCAATATCCAGCAGGCAGCGTGGAGTTTTGCCGACACACCAGACCGGCGGTATGCTTTTGTACAGGATCGTGTACTTACCCCTACCGCCGACGCCGAGCTGAAGCGTGTCGAGGAAACCACGAAGCTGAAGCTGAGGACCGAGAGCAGATGTTATTGCCTTGGGGTAGCTTTGAAGCAGGGGGAGGGGCCGGACGAGCGACTTATTGAGTACCCTAGCCGCCTCCTGGCTGCCACCGAGAGGAAATACGCCGACGAAAGTCGTCGGCCGCCGCCAGACTATAAGGTGGGCGATTTGGTCTTGCTGAAGACCCAGGGTTTGAACGACGCTGATCGAGGTCAAACCCCTAAATTTAACCCTAGGCGTGACGGCCCGTATAAGGTATCGAGGGTCTTGAGTGACAGCACTTACCTCCTGGAGGGAGAGCCTGGAGCGAAGTTAGGGAAGTGTTATGCCTCACAACTTACTCCATTTGTTGGTCACATCCATCCGCCTGTTAGGGAAAAGCGTAGGCGAGGTAGGCCGCGTAACTTTTAAGCTAGTCCAGACCGCGTTGCGTCGTCTGAACTAGAGGGGGAGGNCTCCCTAGTCTGACTCTTTATACAGCGGGAGTTGACTTCGACCACTTCAAACCGACGATCCGTATCCAGATATTGGGTCATAGCGGCGTTGCTGTCATGGACACAGGGGCTACGGACTGCCTAGCCAGTCCGATGTTGTACCGGAAGTTGGTGGCAGGTGGCGTACGCTTCGCGGAGACGCAGCGATCGATCGGGTTAGCAGACGGAACGCGACAGGTACGCGATGTCCTTATAGGTGACGTGACTGTCGTCCTGCAGGGTCGAAAAATATTTACCACATTCCTGGTGATCCCTGGAGCCGATACGAGAACGCTTCTAGGACGTGACTTCATCAGAGACGCAGGTATTGTTATTGATATCCAGCAGGCAGCGTGGAGTTTTGCCGACACACCAGACCGGCGGTACGCTTTTGTACAGGATCGTGTATTTACCCCTACCGCCGACGCCGAGCTGAAGCGTGTCGAGGAGACCACGAAGCTGAAGCTGAGGACCAAGAGCAGTTGTTATTGCCTCGGGGTAGCTTTGAAGCAGGGGGAGGGGCNATGAGCTGTTGGTGGAGCACGCTGATCGCTTCGCTCCCGATGGCAAGCCTACGGATTTCGCGACGCACCACATTAAGACTGACGAGAAGCAGGAGCCTATCGCTTCTCCACCTTACCGACTGTCACAGGGTAAGAGGCAGCTTCTGGAGCAGGAGCTGGATAAGTTGCTGAGAGACGACATCATTGAGGAGTGCGAGTCACCTTGGGCAGCAAACGTCGTACTTGTCACGAAGAAGGATGGCGGCGTACGCCTCTGCGTGGACTATCGCAAACTCAATGCCGTGACGGAGCCGGACCGGTACCCTCTGCCGAGGATGGATGATGTCCTGCACGCCGCGAAGACCAGCAATTTCATGAGCACGCTAGATTTAAGATCTGGCTACTTCCAAGTGAGTGTCGCAGAAGAGGACCGCGACAAGACCGCCTTTATCACACCCGTCGGTACGTACCGATTTAAGCGGATGCCCATGGGTTTGCGCAACTCTGGCGCTACTTTCCAAAGGCTTATGGACAGGTTCAAGTCGAACATCCGGGGCGACGTCTCCGTGCTATGCTACCTCGACGACCTGATTGTCTTGTCTGACACGTACTCTCGACACCTGGAGGACCTGGAATCGGTATTTGATAGACTCGCATTATTTGGTTTGCGCATCAACCGCGAGAAGAGTTTTTTCGCCAGAGATTCGGTGAAGTTTTTAGGTCACCTGATAGTCCCAGGAGGAATACAGGTGGACCCAGCCAAGACCGAGGCCATTACGTCCCTGCCGCCGCCGAGCAACCTGAAGCACCTGAAATGTTTTATTCAGACGACGAGCTGGTTCCGGCGGTTCATCCCCAACTATGCAGAGATTGCCCGGCCTTTGACGACGCTGCTAAAGAAGGACGCCAGCTGGAAGTGGGCGCCGGAGCAGCAGTCTGCCTTTGAACAGCTGAGACAGCTACTCGTGACGGCGCCGATATTGCGGCAAGCCGATGAGACCCAGCCGTACAAGCTACGAACCGACAGCAGCGGCTATTGCCTCGGGGCAGTTTTGATGCAGGGGGAGGGGCCCGACGAGCGCCCCATTGAGTACGCTAGCCGCCTCCTGACTGCCGCCGAGAGGAACTACACGACAACGGAGCGTGAAGCCTTAGCAGTTGTGTGGGCTGTCACGAAGTTCCGGGGATACATCGAGGGTTCCGAAGTAGTTGTCGTTTCAGACCACCAGCCCTTGAGATGGCTGATGAGTGTCAAGTCGCCCAGCGGAAGACTCGCAAGGTGGGCGCTGACACTGCAAGAGTACAACATGCACATCGATTATGTGCCAGGTAAGTCCAACGTTGTAGCGGACACCCTATCGCGACCCGCGTGCAGTGAAGAGACCAGCTGTGACCTGTGTCTTACCGTGGTCGATCTCCCGACTCAGAGCGCATCCGACCTGCGCGAGAAGCAGCTTCAGGACCCTGAGATCAAGAGGATTATAGACGACTTGGAGACGGAAGACGAACCCTTTAGGGGGAGACAGTGGTCAAACCGCGGCTACGTGATGTCAGATGGAATTTTATACAGATGTGGTCCTGAATCCGACGAGAATGACGACGCGTGCTTAGTTGTACCGACGAGCGAGAGAGCAAAGGTCCTCGCTGATTACCATGACGCACCGACGGCTGGTCACATGGGAGTCGAGCGCACGCTGCACCGGATCAGTTCACGATTTTATTGGCCTGGTATGAGAGCGACTGTGGCTGAGTATGTGAAGAATTGTGTGCCCTGTCAGCGGTATAAAGCTGATAACCGCAAGCCAGCCGGCCTTCTTCAGTCCCCTGCCGGAGCCCGCCGTTTTGAAGTAATGTCTGTCGACCTTTTCGGTCCCTTGCCTGAGACACCCGCGGGGAACCGATGGATTTTGATTGTCGAGGATGTTTGCAGTAGATGGATCGAACTCTTCGCATTGAAGAATGCCACCAGCGTAGAATGTGCCAAGACCCTTATAGAGGAGGTTTTCCTGAGGTTCGGTGTGCCGAGGAGGATGGTAAGCGATAATGGCGTGCAGTTTGTTAGCGAGATCATGCAGCAGGTCTGTAACACGTTCGGGATCGATCAGTGCCTGACGCCATTCTACCATCCTGAGGCCAATCCTGTGGAGAGAAAGAACAGAGACCTGAAACCTCAGCTGGCAATCCTGGTGGGTAGAGATCATTCGTCGTGGGACGAGCACATAGCTTCCGTGAGGTTTGCGATGAACTCGGCATTGTGCACTAGTACTGGGTACTCACCTGCGTTCCTTACCTTCGGGCGGGAGCTGCGCGCGCCTGCCGACGCACTCACTGACATGAGGGAGATTGTGGAGAATGATAAGTTCGTNAGGCTATACATTACTATATTACTAATTACTTAACACAATAATTTCCATTCCACAATTGCAATTTATTCAATTCCACTAACAATCAAACAACATTCCATTCAAAAATAACCGCAATGAAACTTCCATACCAAAATTGCCTACAAAACATGGCCCAGTGGTATTTACTGACACCCGTCGGAAACACCGTGCGTTCTTTAATTCGCGGCGTTCCCGGAAAATTTACCTTGGAAAAAGGGTGCCAACGTCTGAGCGTATTTTTTTCCCGTTTTTCCCGTCTCTCGCTAAATTTGTCCGCAGTGGGGCAGATAAAAAAGAGCAGACAGGCAACATGCAGACGGATATTTTTGAATCAGCAATGCAACATGAAAAGTAAAAGTTAAGTCACATCAGATACCCGACTGTCTGTAAGCTCATTTTTTTGAACCAATAAATAAGTTGCAATATAAATCTGTTTACATGGTTTAATATGTTTCATGAAGTGAGAAAAAACTGAAATAATTTTTCTTCCGGCATCAAGCATCCTTTTTTATTGGCAGTCAAAATACTTTGCACCTTCCAATCATGATTTATTTTTTACTAAAATCATTACGGCTTCTAGAGTACCTATTTATAATATTAATTTTATGTATTTTACAGGAAACCTATGATGTCATCGGTCTTTCTTGTGTGTGAACGTCTCACGCTGCGTTTCCCGGTACGCGTACGGTAGGTAGCAGGGAAGCGCTGGACGCAGGCCGCTACCAATTGATCAATATACAAAGCATTGGGGGAGGCCTATGTTCAGCAGTGGACGTCCTATGGCTGTAATGATGATGATGATGATGATTACAGGAAACGGGATCGGGATCGTATCTTTTAAAATACGATATTTCTATTTCTAAATTTAACCAATTAAAGAAATAATATACTCAAGTTTACATGTGCAAGAGCTGTCTGTTTTGCCTTGCTTACCGCAATGCAACAGACTGCTTTTTTTGTCCATCTAGTCCCGCCGGCGCACCACTGTGCTGTATAAACGAAAACTTTCCTTATAATTAACGTGATATGCTCGAAAATTCAATATTGTTAACGCTTCGTTGCAATTTCAACGTTATTTTGCGAAGGTTAAAGTGCAAAATGTTTTTTCAGCTATGTTTATCTGGTTTTCTTGTCTTTTTGAATGCAATTCGGTTTTAGCGTTTAATTCTGTTACTGGAAGATTAATTGCTTATTCTGTGTAAGCTGATCTTGGGAGTTGTTTTTTGGGCAAATTAAGACAATCCCTTAACACTATTTAAAGTTTGTTTTAACGTCTGTAATTGGAAACTTGAAATACATTTATACGCTCTAGACCTTAGGCTCTGAGAATAAAATAGATCCTAGTAACTTCTGATGACTTGATTTGTTTTTATTTCTTCACTTATTGCTCTTGCACTTGTAATAAGTAGTACATTCTGGTCTTTAAATATCTTTAAATATCTTTGGACAATCTCACACAGCGCCATCTAGCCCCAAAGTAAGCAATTAATATGCTTGTGTTATGGGTGCTAGATTAACGGATATACTACTTATATACTTTTTTTTTAAATACATACATATTATACATAGTAACACCCAGACCCGTCACAGAAATTAAAATTCATCATTTCAATTTCTGCCCGGCCGGGAATCGAACCCGGGACCTCTCGGCATAGTAGTAACGTTCTGAACCACTACACCAAACGGCCGACAGTCGGTCAACGGTCTTTGAAGATACATTGAATTTATTAGCTGTGCCCGCGACTTTATGTGCGTAAAAATATATCTTTTTCAACATTGTTCATTGGTCGTAGCGTGATGTTATTCAGGCTATTAACCTTCCACGATAAATATACTATCTAACACAAAAATATATTTTCGAGTCGAACCAGTAAGTAAGTAGTTTCTGGGTAATATATGTATAGTTCTGGCGAAATAAACGTATGATAGATTAAGATAGCTTATTCACTCACGTCTTGAAGGCTGTCGTATCCAACACCGGGCATTACATAGGCATTTACAGCATACTTGTTTTTATCAAATACTAGCTGACCCGGCGAACTTCGTACCGCCTTAGCGTAGAGATTTTCTTTATATTTTTTTCCGTAAAAACCTTGTACAGAGTATTAGAAAACTACAAAAAAAAATCAGCCAAATCGGTCAAGCCGTTTTCATGTTATGTCGTGACAACGGAAAACGGGTTTCATTTTTATATATATAGATAGTATTTCACGTATTGTGTCATTAGTGTCATTACACCAAAATTAAATTACCGTAACATACCTGAAATATAATAAGTACCTAATACGAGTATTATCAGTCACTTTCAGATTATTTGCCCAGCAAACGTGGCACGTGTACCACTGTGTATCAATAAATCCGCTTCAATTATTAATGTGGCTTTATATTTAGCACCAGACAAACAGGTCGATGGTCCGATAAACATTGAGCTTAGTGCATCCGTTTGAGTTTCGTCATATCCAAGTACGAATTCAATCTGAATGTATTAGGCTTCTTGTACACGCTAAGAAATTTCACCGTGTCTGCCGCAGACAAGACAAGAATTTTGTGGGACCTAGCTACGAAAATTCGTCACACAGTGCGCGTCCGCCGCGTATTTATCTAGCGCAGACAAGAATTATTTCTTTACTAATAACTAATA